ATCCTTTTCCTATCAAAGGACGACTTTTCCTATCAAAGAAGAATGACTTTAAATACAGAGAGTTATAATTTTCTAAGGCATCAAAATTTATTTTCTCGCTTTTCAAATAATGAACCCTGAGCATGAATGAGCACACTTTCAATCGCCATACTTTCTCTTTCTCTTCCTACCCAAACTAAACAATTCTGGAGCAAAATAATAAGAGAAGTGATCCTTCCTTCGCTTCTCTAGTATTTACTTCACTCAGTCTCATCACCTGGTGCTGTTTGTAAGTCACTGTAGAACAATGGAAGACATAGCAAACAAAGAGAAACGTTGTGTGAAAGAAATCTTTTAAAAGAAAGAAAGAAAAGAAAGAGATGGCCCAGCCAGTAAAGTGGCTTGTCATGCAAGCTTGAGGACCTGAGTGCAACCCCCAGCACCCACATTAAAAAGCCAGGCACAGTGGTGAGCACCTGTAATCCCAGTGCTACTGAGGAAGTGACAAGTGGATCCCTGGGACTCAGTGTCTAGCCAAACCCGGGAATCCCAAGGCCAATAAGAGACCCTGTCTCAAACAACCAAGGTGTGGTTCCTGAAAAACAACACCTGAGGTGTTCTTCTGGCACACACACACACACACACACACACACGCACGCACGCACGCACGCACGCACGCACACACACACACACACGCATGCACACGCATGCACACTTTCTTGTTTAGTTTCCATTGCTGTAATAAAACACATCAGAGAGGAAAGTGTTTATTTCACCTTACAGCTCACAGTTCATCATGGAGGGAGCACCCTGGAGGCAGCAACTGAGCACAGACCATGAAGGAATGCTGCTTACCACTTGCTCCTCTGGTCTGTGCTCAACAGGCTTTCAGAACCACCTGCCCAGGGTGGCACCACCCATAGTGGGCTGGGCCCTCCCACATCATTCAACAATCAAGAAAATGCCCCACAGACATACCCACAGGCCATTCCACTAGAGGCGGTTCCCCAGTAGAGGTTCTGAGGTTCCCTCTTCCCAAGTGTCAAGTTGACAAGTGAAGCTATCCAGTACATATACACACTTAACAAAAAAAAAAGAAAAGGAAGCCCTCTAAATTATTCAATGTCATTTAACCAGGTTCTAGGTAAACATTTGTCCTCTTTTGCCCAAAAGTCATATCTTACTCTGCTGGAAACAAGAGAGAAAATTTCCAGGACTATGATCAGCAATATTTTCTTTAATATTTTTTTAATATTTTATTATTTTTATTTTATGCGTATGAGTGTATTGCCTGCGTGTATGTAAGTGCATCCATGTCATGCAATGCTGCGGCAGTCAGAAGAGGGCTTTGGATTCCCCTGGAACTGGAGTTAAGGATGATTCATAGCCACCATGTGGGTTCTGGGAATCAAACCCGGGTCCTCTGCAAGAGCAGTCAATTGTCTTAACCGCTGAGCCATCTCCCCACCCCTGATCAGCAATACTTTCAACCTGTTTCCTTTTCCAGTACCCAAAACATTAGCTCAAACAAAAGTATGTCTCCTTCTGGGGGACTGTAAGCGCCACGAAAACAGGCTTTCTCATTACTAAGATCTCTTACACCCCCTACATCTAAAACAATGTGTGGTATACAGTAGGCACTCAGTAATTATTAGCAGAATGAACACTGCCTAACGTGTGAATCTTTACCTCATTCCTCCACATTAGCACAGTGATCCAGGGCAGCCAGGGCAGCACTACTGACAAAAACTGCCCTCCCCACCTATTTTCTTTCAGATTAGTGACCAAATCCTTCTGCCAATTTCTGTGCTAACTATGTATTAAGGACAGAGGATCATGAGAAGTTCCACAAACCAAACACCAAATGTCCACTCATGCCCACCACCTCCAAGGGGAAAAAAAGAGTATCAGTCACTTAGGCTTCTATGAAAACGGGCTAAATAAATAGCTTCAAAACAGTGCAGGGTAGAGTTTTTCCTGCTAAACACAGCCCCTAAAGCAGTCGCCCACTGAGCTCAGCATTAGGAAGACTGCTTTCTAGTCCAGGATCTACCACTAACTACATGCTCACCAAGCCCTGGCCTGTTCTTTTGAAAGCAGGTAACAATGCTGAAACAGAGCCATGACTCTGAGCAAGGGAGTGCTCTCAAGAGGACTGGGGAGGCCCTGGGCTAGGGTGGGTAGTAGAAGAGCGGTGGAGTCACCTGTGAGATTTCAACTACACATGGCCCCTTCTGGAACTCTGCCCAAAGTGTCCTGGCAAATTACCACCAGAGGAGCCACTGTCACTGACTAAATGATGATGAAGTATGGAAAACAGTCACTCATACTAAGGGACATGTGGAAAACTAAGAAAATCTTGTCCAGTTTTCAAGTGTAAGTTCTTTGATAAGCGGGACCAAGGCTGACTCTACTTAGTGAAACCCACATGGGGTGCAACACAGGGTGCGCCTGTCTTTCCTCACTATATAGAGCTCAGCTCCTTTGACTTCCTGTCAGCCACACCCTATGCTTTTCCTACTGTACTGAACTCTAGATTTGCCATCTATGCCTTTCATCACCTGTCACCACCTGCAGGAGACATGGCTGAGTGCCCACAGGCACCCTTGCCTTCATCCTTGCTAGCAGATTTCTGGTTGTTAGATATGGCACTTGGGGATGGTGAGCCCGTGCCTCCGATCCAGAAGCCTATTTAGCCAAAATAACTGTAGCCCTTGCTCCTCTGCCGGGTACTGGTCTAGGGGTAGGCAGACCATTCTGGTCAGTAGCATCTGGCCAATGACAGGAATTTTAAGGGAAATTTGCATCTGCTTACCTAAAGGAAGACTGAGACTCCAACTGTCCTCCCTCTGCTGTGAACTGCTATCTTGTGAAGGCAAGAGGGTTCTCTGTTCTCCAGGGAGGATAAGGAAAACAAAGAAAATTTTCTAGAAGGTAACCAAGATCTGTGGCCACTTTAAATACTCCTCTCCCACCCTTAGACACCTCAGGGGACAGAAACCTAACTAATGTTACTTTCATTAGAAAGTGCCCTTTCTGACAGCCTACCCAGGAGCCTGAACAGTTCCTCCACTGCTTCTGCTCTAAAACTTATTCATCTCTTGGCAGACCTTCACAATGTCCCTAGTGAGAAAAACAGCCCCTGACACTGTTATCTGCATATGCGTCTTTCCATCTAGACTGCGAGTTCCTCAAAGTACCCTCTCTTACTCCTGGCAGAGACCCTGGCATATGCTGAGCATTTACTAAATGTTTAATCATGGAATGAATAAGCCACGAATGAAAGCTGGACACACAAGATGTCTGCCATGACCACCGACAGACTAGCACCCAGGCTGTCCACACTGCTCTAGACCTCCTCAAGGTATCCTTGAAGAAAAGCAGACACTGGGCAATGTACATTTCTATTTTTGTTTGCCTTGAATTGAAGCTAGGCCTCCCTTGTACTTGAGATAGGGCTCTTTTCCAGTAGCTGAGCTAATCCTCTCATGCGCTGGGGGCACCTGGGTGATATATACCTACTCCTGTTATGGAACCCCCACCCCCACCGCCCCGCCCAGTCTGCTGAGACTTGGCCTGCTGTGGTTCAGCGCACCAGGAAGATATGCTGAAGGATGGAGGAAATGGAAGATACCTCCCCACCCTCCCTCCTTCCCTCTCTCCCTTGATCCCTCCTTCTCTCCCTCAATCCCTCCCGCTCTTCTTCACTTTCTTCACAGAGTAAAGGTGCCAGTTTTATTTATCATTGCATACTAAAAGCCAGTCAAAACAGGGAAAAGAACTAAGATTCACAGACTGAAAGAACTCACCCTGGATGTTCACAGAGGCACCTAGATCTAGCAACACAGGAAGCTAAAACCCCCAGGCTTTTGACATGGAACCCAGTTTCCACACTGCATGAGGCAACTTTCAAGTCACCAAACCCCAACTCCAAAGAAAAGAATTCTAACAAAGAGAGCTAGCAGTGATGAGAACAGACTGATTATACCCTTCTACATATGAGACCTGTGCACTGACCCCTCTGGAGTTTGGCAGCCAGGGGCAGGCCAACCATGAGCAAGGTGGAATAGTAAGCCCACTCCCATACACACAGGAACACCACCCTACTGCTTCCTGCATCTCCCTTCCATTCAAAGGCTGCAGAGACCCAGCACTCAGGAGGCAGAGGCAGGCAGGTCTTTGTGAGATCAAGGCCAGCCTGGTCTATACAGTATGTTCCAGGCCAGCTGGGGCTACAGGGAGACCATCTCAAAAACAAACCCAAACCAAACAAACAAAAAACTACAGGGCCCCCTGGAGACATAAAGTGTTAAATACCTTAACATATGGGGGTGGGACATGGAGAAAGCCTCACAGCAGCACATCAGTACCTCAGGGGCCGCATATAACTTAAGACCCTCTTTATGATTATAGTACCCACTTGACATGTGAAGAAACTGAGGCTCAAAGAAACAACTTGCTCAAGGTCACAGAGCTAGTAACTGAACTGAAAATTCAATCTCCTAGAGTTTTGGACTCCTCCCACTCTATCACTCTTATCACCAGTCCCTGGGATGTGAGCAGGACCCTGGCCCCCACAACACCCCAAGACACACAGATCAGCAGCCTTGCTACAAATGCCCCTGGAGTGAGGGCCCCGGTAACTAGCCAACGCGCTGGGTATTTCAACAGCAAAAGTAAAGCGCCAGGCAGGGCAGCGTCCCGTACCCCGTCCGCGTGGAGCTGGAGCGCCGCAGAGGGCAGGGCGGCAGCCGGCAGGGCGCTCGGCCTCGGACCCAGCCGCTCTGCGCCCTCCGCAGTAGTTCGGCCCTGGCCTCGGCTCTGGACTCCCGCGGCGCTCAAGTCCCCTGCAGACCCGCCATGCCCGGTTCGGGCTGGCTCCGAGGTTGGCAGCTGCGCCCCGGGGCGGCGAGGGGATCGGGTCCCGCTGCAGCTGGACAAGCTGAGCTCCGGGGCGCCGCAAGGTGCTTCCCGCAGCCGCGCGTCCTGTCCCCGCGCGCCCCCGCGCGAGCCCGGCTCACCTGCGCAGCCCGCTGGACTCCCGGCTCCCGGCTCCCGGCTCCCGGCTCCCGGCTCCCGGCTCCCGGCTCCCGGCTCCCGGCTCCCGAGGGGCGGGGCGCGGCTCCTCTCCGCCCCAAGCCACCTGGGGCGCCCGCGAGGTAGCCGGGCGGGACAGGTGAGCGGCGCTGCCAAGGAGCAGCCCCCGGTGCCGGCTCCTGGACGCCGCCGGGATCCTCCGCACGGTAGCCGGATCCCGGTGAGTGCGTGCAGGAGACACTGGGACCGTGAGAGCCCCCGGAGCAAAAGAGGAGCTGTTGCCTCCTAGCCTGGCCCGCTGGGAAATGAGACAGAGCAACTAGAGGGGCACTCCCGCCCTCGGGCTATGGGATGTGGGAGACCCTCAGGGGTGAATACAGTGAGGTCAAGAGTGCCGCAGAGTTAATTCAGTCAGAACTCAGGTCCTTTTGAACCATTCCCTCCTACTTCATCCATGCCTCCCACACCCCTCCCTCTTTTAAAAGTGCATATGTTATAAATACGATGGTTTCACATAGTGATACTCCCCCCCCCCCCCCCACGACTGTAAGCCTAACTTTGCCTGTCCATTCTTCAATCTCCTGAGCCTTAAACTCAGGGCAGAGCAGGACTCTGTTAACACCTGAAGAACGCCAGGGTTTGCCCCAGCCCAGATATCACTCTACCTTATCTGAGAGCCGCCAGCACTGTCCAGCCTTCAGGCCTTCCTCCCTATCTGTACTGCTTTCCTCCCCAACACTGTCAACCAGACAGCTGGTTTGTGGGAGGCCTAACTCCCAAGTCACCTGTCTAAGTGGTCAAGCAAATCTTTGACATAAAGATGTCACAGACAGAGGAACTCAGAACTCTGTCCTGTCAGACTTAACACTGGTGGGAGATTCAGGCCAAAGATGGCAGACTGGCCTGGGGCACTAAAGTATTTGGTGGGGCCTGCAACTGGGAAAACTTGACTGAAGGCAGAACTTCTGCAGAAACTAGTTGTGGGTTTGGTCCTCTGCTGAGGCCTTTATTAATAGGCTTTGCAGGCCCAAGCGGGGCATAGCATTTACTGAGATCCCTGACAGTTTCAGAAAGAGTGGCATATTTTTAAGTGTGACATTCAGTGAACAAACAACTTTAACACACACAAGGTGATGTGTGATGCTGCTAGTCACACATTGATTTTATTTGTGGACTCAGAGAAATCCATTTCCAGTGCACTACAGGAAACACTGTTCAACCTTAAAGTTGACAGAGAACATCCTTCCTGTAAGTATTTCAGAATACTTCTATGATTGCATACTAAACCTCCAAGGCAAAATTGAGGCACTCTGCCAAGGTGATGTCAGGGCCAAGTGGATTGCTCCACCCTTCCCCCCTGACAACGGGCCCAACAGTGTCAAGGCCTGGGCCCCTCTTGCATCAGTGGGTCCTACACAAACGAGTGTTTAAACTCTGGTATTAACTGGCCAGCCTGGTCACACTAGACAGACCATCCTGGAAAAAAGTTACAGAGGATGCCTCACCTAGGTGTGCCTAACCACAGCTGCTACTCCCCCATGGTGGGCATGGAGGCTGGTGTCCCAGGGTGGAGCTGTGGTAGGGCCTGCCCTATGGGTCAGCCGTTTGCACCAGCAGGTGGAGCAGAACAAAGGAGCCGCTCCAGGTCCCGCCCAGGAAAACTGGGCCCAGCCCTTATTATGTGTTGGTTTCAGTCAGTGGAGCATGTGATTTAGGATCATCTGTTGTGTGTGATCTTGGCTGGGCCAGCCTTGTAAGTGATGCCACCCAGAAAGACTGAGACTCCTCTAGAAGGTACAAATTCTACTTTAGTGAGTTCCTCCCCCTCTTCCTCTCCCTCCCTGTAGCATGTTTTGTTTTGTTTGATATTAATTTTTCTTTATTCTTGAGAATTTCATATATGTATACAATGAAGCATAGTTATATCTACCTCCAATTCCCCCCCTCTCCAACTCCTCCCAACTCTTCTCTCAGCATAGTTCCCTCCCAATTTCAATTTTGTTGTTGTTGTTTTTGATAGCCCACTAAAGCCAATTAGTACTGCCCATATGTACATAGGTGTGGGGTCATCCACTGAAACATGGGAAACCTACCAGTGGCCACACATTCAGAAAAGAATGATTCTCTCTCCCCTAGCAGCTATCAACTGCCAAGAGCTCTTCAGTAAGGAATGGGGCCAGAAGAGCATCGCCCCCATCTATGTGAGACTTTGAGCTGGCTTGATCTTGGGCAGGTAACCTCAGCTGGTGTGAATTCGTAAGTCCAACAGCCATGTCCGGCCCAGAAGCTTGCATTCCATAGCACTCCTCCCCATCATCAGTTCTTACATTCCTTTCCCCCTTCTCTTCCACAGTGTTCCCTGAGTCTTGGTGGGAGGCAGGGGAGTTGAGAAAGATGTCCCCTGTGAAGCTGAGCTCCTAGTCTCTTATACTAAGCACTGTGATCAATTAAGCAACATGTTTCTTGATGGGTCACTTCTCCCACTTGGAAAATTTAAAGCCATAAATCTTGTAAAACCTGACAAGATTTCTGCTTGATGTTCTCTGCTGGAAAAATGCATCTGAAATTTGAAGATCCGATGCTGTTGTGAGAGTAGAAGAAAGCCTGTGAGGTGTGTGAGCAGTCTGTCTGCACAAGGCAACTGCTCACAGTGAACAATGCCCTAGTGTAATTGATGCGGCTCTAACTGCCGGTGCAGAGAACCCACTCATGTCTGCTGGCCATTAAAGAACTAGAAACTGGCAAAACTGCTGATGGCCTTCTGAAGAGTCTAAGATGAACCAGTTAATTCTTGCAAATTGCCATATTTGATGCTGTTCCCTCTAGAGGCTAGGAAAATGATGTTTGAAGTGGTAACTCTTCAGTTTCTTTCTCTAGTTCTCTGATGGTATAGTAAAAGTGAAAATTGGAGCTAGGGAGATGGCTTAGTCTGTAAAGGGTTTGCTGAATAAGCATGAGGACTTGGTTCCAATCCCCAGCACCCAATAAAAGCCAGGCATGGTAGCCTGAGTCAGAAACGCCAGTGCTGGGGCAGGGGTTAGAAGGGCAGGGACAGGCAGATCCCTGGAGCTTGCTAACCAGCCATCCTACCTTAATCTGTGATGTCCAGGTTCAATGAGTCTAGTTCAAAAAATAAGATGAAGGGGCTGGAGAGATGGCTCAGTGGTGAAGAGTACTGGCTGCTCTTGCAGAGGACCCAGGTTCAATTCCCAGCACCCACATGGTGGGTAAAACTGTCCATAATGCTGGTTCCAGGGGATCTGACATTCTCTTCTGACCTCCATGGGCATTGTACAACATGGGTGCACCTACCTACAGGCAGGCATTACACTCATACACATAAAATTAAAATAATAATAAAATATTTTTTGGAGAGCAACTGAGGAAGACACCCAATCATGGACCTCTGGCCTCAGCGCACACATGCATGCGCCCCTCCCCTGGAAACATGTACTTACACATGTATCACACACATAAAAATAATAAAATACCCAAAGAGGGTCAAAATCTTTTTTCAAATGAGCCTTGGATATATCTTTCTTAATTAATGTGTATATTAATGCCTTATGTCATTTCCAGTGCACATTTTTCACTGAGAATGTTTATTGCATTCTGAGCACCCAGAAGCCACTCAATTAATTATAGTTAATAGGGGAGTAGCGTAGGGAAATAGCCAGAAAGATTAGGATCAGAAAGAGCCAGGAACTAAATAAAACTAATAGTCTCTTTATTAGAGAATCTAGGATTTAATTTCCATAGCTCTGGAATTGGGTTCAAATACAGCCACCACTGTTAGTTTGTTAATTTCTATGCCTAGCTTTCCTCTACTGTAAAATGAGATGCTGCTATAGAAAAACTGGGAGATTTAAAATAGAATAATAATTAACCTATAATTAAGCTATTTTTTGCCAGTCACTGTTCTAAATGCTTAGAGTCTCAACCCAGGACCCCAGACCCAGACCTGCAAATGAATTCAGTATTTTTTCTACAAACACACACACTCACATACATGTACACCTACACACACACACACACACACACACACACACACACACACACACGCTCCTAATCACATCTAGCATCACTCCTTGAAGGGCTGAGGCTGTTCAACATAGTCAATAGACATTAAATGAAATGTGACATATACCACAGGCCTCAGGCTGATGGGACACTGACCTGGGACTTCAGAAGAGAGAAAGAGTCCAGCTAGTGCAAGGGAATTGTATAAACCCCAACTAGGCAACCATTTCTTTCTGGGCAAGAGCTGAGTTTGATGTAAGAACAGGGCAGGAGCTGCAAGTGATTATCAAGGCAATGTTTTAGGGGAGTGTCAGCTTGAGAGTGATCAGACAGAATTCTAGAATCACCTCTTCCTGACTGTGAAACTCTCAACTCGTACCAAGGGCAGCCAAGGAGATTGTGTGTTTCTTCGGGTTTTTGATGTTCACCATTCAGAAGTCCTGATGTAACAAAAAAGTTGAAATAACCTTCCCAATGTGTTTTGGGTATATATCTCACAACCTAGGCCAGCAAACAGAATTTTCAAGGTGGTACACTGTAGCAGCAGATCCCCTGAGGAGACTTTAAAAAGTTGAGGTTGGCCCCTCAGGCCTTGATTCTGAGGCTGAGCAGCAAACTGGCTTTTCTATATTTTCCCCTCAGTCTTATTCTTCACAATTGTGGAGTCCCACTGGGGACCAGAGTGAATTTGCTTGGCTATTTAAAACAAATGGGCTGCGATGTCCTCACGCTACTCTCCTTGGTTTCAGAGCAACACTGAAGTGTGGGTAAGCATATTGTGGTCTGCTCACAAAAATCCTGGCTGCAAAAATATTCAAATGCCTTCTGATGTTTTGTTTGTTGTTTTTTGAGGTACTGGGGATCACACCCCAGGGCTCACACAAGCACTCTAGCTCCTTGGTGTTGGATTTCTTAATCCAGGAATCAGTTCTTAGCATGCCAATTTATGCCTTACTTTGGAAGGCAGCCCATGCATGTTTACCATCCTCTTAATATGGTAGGTAAATGAGAGCTGTTTTCCATACTAGTCTGTGGAGACTC